GTCGGGGAAGGTTAGCCAGACATCCATTCCCAATTTTGCCATTGCTGATGACACGTAATAGAATTTGCTTTCGGCATGCCACAGAATCCTAGAAGGTTGCTGTAACATCAGCAGGATGTGTGCAAAGGTATTGTCTTTTTCATTCTGTGACACAAAACCATCAGAAATAGAAGATATTAGCCACAGTCCTGCTATCTGCATGATATAAGTAAAAAAACCATCTTGAATGTCAAGCTTATATCAAGGCACTGAGAAACACAGAGAGCAGACAGAACAAGAACTGTATCATTTCACAGAGCTCAACAATTGTGACTCCTTTCAGTGCATTAAATTGCAGGCTTTCCCTGATTAATGAGAAATGGATAACCCCACCCAGGCATCTCTGTGTGTGAAAGGTCCATTGGAGGAGGGTAGCATTCCGAGAGGCACTTGGAACCTTGGCATTTAGTCTTCAATTAGCTGCCTTCTCTCAGTTCTTTGGGCACTGACTTAATGCAAAAGATGTCATTATCCTTCCTCTCTTCCACTTCAACTGATGAGTAAGAAAAAGCACTAGCAGCAGAACAGTCTCTTCCAAAACACTGCCTGCGTCCATGCCCTGGACTGAAGACAGGGTACATTTAGCAGCCAACAATGGAAGCAGCTCTGGATTTCAGAGCTAGGCTTCAAAGCTGAACAGATGGCTTTAGCTCTTTGGCAGGGAAATACTGTAATGGCTAAAAAAAGAATAGGGACCGTATTGAGCAACTGACGCTCCCCCATCATCTGAAGGGCAATTCTGCAGATGCTCTCTCTGTGCATAGTGCTCCATTCTTATAAAAGTGAACATCATCCATGAACAAAAACTAAACAGGGATTCGTCTGAAATAATCCAGCTTATGCATATGCAATCATTACATTACACAGGGCGTCCCTTGGAGAGGTACAACTGGAGAAAGAAAGGAAGGAAACTAAGGAGATATTAGCACAGGTGATGTAAAGTTCACCCCATATTGTAAGATGGGTACAAGCTACACAGTCCCTTTGTCTCAATTATAGCAACCTCTAATCCCACTCTATACGTCCCCTTTCCTCCTCCATCCCTTTGAAAACTTGCATCGTAAGCTGACTCTGGAAGGTAGACAGCATGAGCAGGTAGGCAAATACTATTTCCGTTCTCAAGGAATTTCTGAATACCTCAAGCTTGGTTTTGTTGGAGAAAAAAAAAAAAAGGTACATTTTTAAGCTCCCTGCAAAATAAAACCTCGCCAGCATTTCAATTCATAACCTGCACAAGTCCTTGCTTCACTAATGGCAACTGCTAAAAAGGAATCATTATAACCCATTTTTAAATAATACCTAAAGGCTTTGCTTTGGTATCAAAGCATCATGAAAAACAGAGTTCAAATATATTATACAATAATATTTTAAGTTAATGTAAAAATGAAAATGAAATTAGTAGAGGTTGGACTTTTTAACCTTCTCAAGATTTGGATATCAGGCAACACTCAATGAATCACTTCAACTTTTTCCATAAGTAACGTCATCCATTTCCCCACAGAAAATGGTCCAATTGAAAACAACATCAACTATATCCCTTCCCAATGTAATAAAGTTAGTCTCTTGTACACAGCCAGAAGAAAACCTTTTTGGCATACAAAAAATTTGGAAGGTTTCCTTCAAGATCTGAAGGCAGATAATTGCAAGGCCATATTGCACAGATACTAACTATATTCCCACTGTGCAAGGCAGGGTAACGGACCCCCGTTCGAGCAGGAGGCAAGCCTGGAAGCCAAAGACTTCTATGCCCTGCAGTAGGAGGGGAGAGTAAACTGGGCAGCTTCCTGCCTTTGTGGTTCAGGAAAGCACCTTGCTCCCGCATCTGCTGTTCTCCAGAGTTGCGGCTGATTCCAGCCTCTCCCACAGAAAAGCAGCCCGTAGCCTGCCCTTGGGGATGCAGGCTGCCCCCTGTCTCTACCCAGTTTATAATAATGTCCTCGTGACACGTTCAACTGGTCAAATGTCAAAAGGAAAAGAAATGCATGAGAAGTGACTAAGAGATTTTTCATAGCAGGCATTGTTGTTACAATCACCCCTCCTGATCTTTTATTTAGTGTAGTACAGAGAGCTTCAGTGAGTTAAAGCTAATCTAAGGAAAAGCATGCTGCATTAAACAATGAAATACAGTTAGGACTCACACATCACAATATAGCTTAGGTCTCATAGAGCATTTTAAGCCTGACGTTCTGCTCTGTCCTGATCAAACAACTGCCAGCTTTTCCTGGTCAATAAGCATTTCGCAGAGACACCAGGCCTAGAGGAAGCCACTGAACAGAACAGAACCTCCCTGTATTAGGGCAATTCTAGTTGTTGGCCAGAGCTGGAAAAGAACTCCCTTTCATAAGCCATTCACCCTTGTTCACACAAGGTAAAGAACCAGGACAACATTTCTGAATGGCTAAAGTGCTAAAGACGACACTGGAATACCGGCAGAGCAAACAAGAACAATTACTGATGTTCGGCTAGAGGAGACAGTCTCCAGCACCGTTATATTTCTTTTCAGCCCAAGCACAGCTACTGGAGCTTTAACAGCTGTCAGTTCAGACCTAGTAAGCCTATTTGTCTGGAGCCCACCATTCTCTCACTGTAGGAAGCAAATTACATGTTTGCGTTATTGCCTTGGCTTGCTTGCTGGGACCTGAAGTGCACTGCATGCACAAATAGACTTTTCTATTTCTCCATCTATAAAGGACAAAAAGCAACACTTGCTAAAGTAATGACTCCCAGCTAATAACGTCCATCAGGAAAGGTGCATCTTCTCCCCTGCAGAGCTGGGGATTATTTGTTTACATTGCAGTATCCTTCCAGCTAAGATGATGAAAGAAAGTCATCAGCCCAGGCACGTTTTGGAAGTGCTTAGCAAATCATGGTAGGATTGTCACAAGCTGCACGAAAGTGCTACTTACTGCGACAAAAGAATCAAATCCATGAAGAGTATATGTTCTCCAGAGAAGTAATCAAGCTCTAGAACGTCTTCCTGATGGAGATCAAGAATTATTTCCCAGCAGAGACATGACTTAAACCTTGACCTGAAAATAGCCAGTTCTCTCGTGTATCAACTGTTAAGTGACAACTTCTTCTTTGGAGCTAGAAGGTCTCCTTTGCTCTCCAGCCAGCAAACTCAGTGACCTGTGCTGCTACCTAACTTACTGTTGAGTAATTTCTCTGATTCTTCACCTCTAAAAACAACCCCTACAAATAGGACCAGACATAAAAATAAGATGCATGTGTCATAAAGCCTGTTCTACCCACCCACAGAAACATACACAATCATATTTTCAGCAGAAAAGGTTGAATCTAGACAGCTGAATTCAACACCTTAAGCACTGCTTTCCAGAAGATCCCATCTCCCCAAAGACTACACAAAAGCTCTTAGAGATTAGCCTTTTAAGCTAATACCTATAGCTGACTGTTATAAGCCCCACCTGTCCATTTCCACAGAGTAAGTACCTGCTAACTTTCCCAGCTGCTCAGCATTCTTAAAAAAAAAAAAAAAGGCTATGAGAATTTGGGGTAACCCAAATTAGATACTGCTTTTCTAAGGAGGAACTCTTTCAACCAGTCTATGAAACTCCCACATCAGCATTTTGTAATTAAGACTGGAGGTTACTGGTAGCTCTCATGGCAGGGAACAGGATTCAGAACTACACCCACTTTTTGGCTTATCCTTAGAGCCATCTTTCTAACGACAGCCTCAGTGTTTAAAGTTTCAAGTGTGGAGGTGGTCAATAAGTAATTTGAATGCTTAGGAAAAAAGCTCTTGGCTCTTTTTTTCTGAACAGATGGAGTGGAATTATTCTGGAATTACTTTTCTCTCTGTTGCATGCATTTAAATACTTTTTACTAGTGATTTTTCTTCCTTCCTTGTTTTATTTTATTCTTGTAACAAAAATGAGATGTCAGAAAATCTGACACATTGCTGTACCATATGCTTAGTATCTATTTCCAGCAGCAGGTGAGAATCTCATGATTCAATTCCCACCTGTGCCAAGGCCATTTTACACCAATTTGCTCTGTAGGAAAACACGGAATAAAAGCAATAAAATCTGTGGAAGACATGTATACATGGGTTGCTGTGCACAGTTTCAGCATTGCCTATATGAAAAGGGAGTACATATATCCATTTCCATCCCTGCACAGTAAGTATTAAAACAGGAAAGCATTGCCTAAAGACAGCATCACCAAGTGTCATGGTTTAACCTCAGTCGGCAACTGAGCACCACCCAGCCGCTCACTCACTCCCCCCCTGACCCGGTGGGATGGGGGAGAGAAGGGGAAGAGTGAAAGTGAGAAAACTTGTGGGTTGAGATAAAAACAGTTTAATAATTGAAATAGAATAAAAAAACAACAACAACAACAACAACAATAATACACAAAGCAAGTGATGCACAGTGCAATTGCTCACCACCTGCCGACCGATGCCCAGTCAGTCCCTGAGCAGCTCCACCCCCCCCAGCTTTCCCCAGTTTATGTACTGAGCATGACATCACATGGTATGGAATGTCCCTTTGGCCAGTTGGGGTCAGCTGTCCTGGCTGTGCCCCCTCCCAGCTTCTTGTGCACCTCCAGCCTGCTCAGTCAGTAGAGCAGGGGAAGCTGAAAAGTCCTTGACTAGTGTAAGCACTACCTAGCAACAACTAAAACATCAGTGCGTTATCAACATTGTTCTCATCCTAAATCCAAAACACAGCGCTGTACCAGCTGCTAGGAAGGTGTCACCTGAAACCAGGACACCAAGCCAAAATGTTCTATGAGCTTGGTCAGACTCTGGAAAATAACTTGTCGGCTTCCATCTGCAGCTCCATTTTCTTTTACTATTTTAGTGTTCATGCTTAGAAACTTCCATTTAAAAAAAAAAAAAAAAGTATTTTCCTGTAATTTCCAGGTGACAGGATATGGTGGTTTAAGACATAGCACCTGATATTGGAAAACTCAAGTCATAAATGCCAGACTTGATGAGTCTACAAATCGGTCCTTCCTGGAACTAATTTGGGTCTTGAAATCTTAGCATCATTCACCAGAGTCCTATTCCCTGATTTATTCTTCAGCAAGTCCTTGCCTTGAAGCAGCGTAATGATGTTTTCTCTCTGATGTCTAATTGCCAACTGGAGGGCTGTACAGCCAGTGATATCTTCCACGTCAAGCAGAGCACCAGCCCTAATCAAGGTCTTTATAATGGCCATATTGCCCTTGAGGACAGCAAGGTGCAAGGGTGTCCAACCCACTTTGTTCTTAGCATTGACATCTGCCTTGCACTCCAGAAGATTGATGACAGCCAAAACGGAGCCCCGCTGGACTGCAAAATGGAGAGGGGCCCACTCTGACTTCTCAGCGATGTTGGGATCTGCCCCACATCTCAATAGCTCACAGACTACTGGCTCATCGCTGTAGCGAGTGGCCAAGTGAAGTGGTGTCCAGTCCATGCTTCCTTTGGCATTCAGTTTGGCACGGCTGTCTTTTAGCAGGTGGATGATTTCAATGTGTCCTTTGAATGAAGCCAGGTGCAGGGGAGTCCAACCTTTGTCTGTCCTCAGCTCCACATTGGCTCCGTATTTAATGAGTTTCTCACAGATGAGATACTTCCCTCTCACCACAGCCAGGTGCAGGGCACTGTAATGATTTTGATCCAGGCTGTCAACAGAGGTCCCGTTCTTCAGCAAATAGTGGACTACCCTGAACTTCCCCCTCTCCACAGCAACATGAAGTGGGGTTCTATGGTTCTTCTGCTTTTTCTCCAGGTCCGCTCCTTGACTGGCAAGCAGTTTCACCAAGCTGACGTGTCCAAAGCAAGCTGCCACATGGAGGGCAGTTTTCCCATCAACCTCCTGGGTGTTGGAGTCAGCCTGGCGAGATAGCAGTACTCGGGCCACATTCTCAAAGTTGTTCTGTGATGCCAAGTGCAGAGGGGTCCACCCGTCACGCTCTTGAGCATTTACCTGTGCCTGGTGGTCCACCAAGAGGCGTACAATTCTGTCGTCCCCATTCTGAGCAGCAAAGTGAAGAGGTGTCCAACCATCATCATCAGGCATATTGATGTCTGCATCATGCTCTATCAGAACTGAGCAGATCTCCGGCGACCTCTTCGGAACAGCCATAGTAAGTGGGGTGTAGCCACAGACTACCTGGCTGTTCACGTTGGCTTTACAGCTCAGCAGAAACTTCACCTTGTCCACATTTTTCTGGATCACCATGAGGTGAAGTGATGTGAGGCCATTCTCATGGACTCTACAGATTTCCTCAGACAGGATATCCTCCGGACTTTCAACCTCATTGTAAGAAGATGGGATACGAACCTCCTGATTATCAGTTTCTAAAGGCAGGGGAAACAAAATAGGAGAAAGAGAGTAAGACCAAAGGAAATAGCTTGGTGTGCACGAGATGGGAGGGAGACCATGTGAATCTTCATAGTATGAAATGAAATAAAAGGCATTTTAGCGATAGGGAATATGAAATGAGCAAGACCGCTACATGCAGTCTCTTAGAAAGCAGTGAGACATTTGGCCTCTCCCTCACAGGAACTATATCTGCTATTTCCTGTATAGTTCATTTTCCTTAACTTAAAAAGAAAAGTCACCTGCATGGAAAACTTTCTTGAGCCACATCCTTATCACTGGAGAGCAGGGAAATAGGCTATTTTTTGTAGGTTTCCACTTCTTTTTTTTTCCTGAATTATAAAGAAAGTCTCCTACTTACCACCACTTCTGCTGTCTCGGAGGAAGGTGAACTCTTCTTTGTCACTCTTATTTTCAGGAAGGGGAAAAGAAAAAGACGTAAGACAAAGTTGCTTATTTGCATTCTATAATATTTGCACACAGTTCTTCTTTGCTATTGCTCTAGAATTTTGTATTATCATTTGAGTGTTTTTTATCCAATCCTGTTACTGCATCCAAAACTCAGCAGAGCAAATCATGATGCTAACAGGAATGCGGAAGCCTGAAAATGATCTCTGGGTATCAATGAGATTTTTCTCCTCTTACTCATTTGCTCCCAAACTTACATATAGTCTGCTTCCTTATTGCAGCACATGCCCGTGGCAGCATCCCAGCTAGTCATTTTCTTTGTTGTATAGGGAACCCAAACACCCCCACCTCCTCAATCCTCTATACTCAGGCATCTTGTTTCTTGCTGACTGCACAACTAGGCAAAACCTCAAAATAGCAATAGTTCTCAACAGCTACTTCTCCCTGTATGAAGCTGACTTCTAGGCACAATTACACTCCAGTAACTGGGCTAAAATTGTGACTATCCTGAAACCTGATTTTTTTTCTTAGTCAGAGAAACACAGGGATTGAAAGCTTTTTTTTTCTCCTAAAAGAGTTGTTTAAACTGGAATGTCCTCAGTTCCATGGAGCTGGAAATGGTCATCTGACCACATATGCCAGTGCCATGAGCAGAAACCCCGTGACTCTGTGTCTGCTTGAGCTTCTTTTAATGATTGAAGCCTACATGATAAAACCACTTCATCTGAGCAGGTAGAAAGAAGGGTCTTCCTCTCGGACTGTCTATCATTTAGCACACGGGCCAGCTTGCTAAATTTATTTGCAGTTTCCTATCCCCATAAATGAATTACAGATGTACAACCTATGCAAACACACTGCGCAAAGGTTGCTGAGGTGCCCTTGTTGTCTGATGATAAACAGTGATGAGAGAGGAAACACATTCTCAAGAACTGGTAAGAGCAGGGAAAGGACTCAGTGGAATTTCCTGAGTGGTACTGGAAAGCCTTCCTCACCTGCTGGTTCCCAGAGATGGCAGGCTTGTGGGACGTCTTCCTAACAAGGTGCTCATTCTCTGGATCTGCTACAAGGCTTTGTATCAGTGACAGCAGCATGTCTGTTTCCACAGGGATATCTACCAGAGCAAAAAGACTGTTAGTTGCGCAGACTACCCAGATGTTCAGAAGCCAGTCAGTACCCAAGGTTGTGGAAGCCTTCCACATATCCTCCACATGGGGAGGAAGGAAAGAGGGAGAAAGAGGATGTGTGGACAGTAAATGGATACCAAGCATTTCCAAGGCAACAGGCGATTTATCTGGCAAAGAGTTTTAAAGCAAGCTTATCCCCCACTTGTTAATCCATGCAGCTGACCCTTAGTTTATCCATACACAATCAGCTATTACACCTCTAAAGCTTGGCCTTTGCTTAGGGTCTTGATCCCAACACCTCTTCATCAAGTCAACCATCTGCTGGCATTCCCCTGGCCAGTCATCACTGATGGGTTCCATGTGGGGCCTCTTTCCTGCTGCAACCTTGACTATAATGGCCATCATGTTGGCTCCTGAAAAAAAGCAACGTGCACTGAGCTTTTTCTCTGTGAAGATGGCTGTAATAAAATTTAATAAGTGCAGAGCATGTAATAAGTGTTCATATTTACCTGCATAAGGTTTCTTCTGCATAAGTACCTCCCAAATGACAATTCCAAAGCTGCAGGCAATGAGAGATCATGAGCGATCGCTCCCATATGTACAATGAACATAAGATTCACTTATTGCTTTTATCTTCTTGAGAAATGTGAAAATTAGGAAAGAAGTTCTTCGGGATAGAAGGCTTTCCTCCCCCACACCAAAAGGACAACATCTTATGAATCGTCACATACATCTCTGATGCCTCAGCGAAAGGGTTGGTGTAGTGAATGAGTGACTTGAAGCATTTCCTGTGAAAGTCAGGCTCTCAGTGCCTTTTTTTCACTTTTTTCACATTGGGTTTTAGACCCCTTGACTGGTGCAAGTTCATGTGGCCATGCAAATCCTCCTTTGCTTCTTGCCTTGGGTTACTGTGTAGTGTAGTGGCTAAGGAGCTGACGAATTCCCAGAACGTATATATGTAGCTTGTGTAAGTGGGCTGCAAAGCACTTTGGTCAAAAGGAAAAAAGTAAAGTTGAAATCTTTTCTCCACCTGTTACTGACCAAAATGAAGCTGAACACTGAAGTAGACAAGCAATATTACAGTTGTTTTAAAATCAAAGTAAATCTAAGCAGTTTCTGCTATGAAAGAGCAGACACTGTCTGTTCCGTGCTCTAATCTTACTCCTTTTCTATAGTAACTTCCAACAACCTAACAGGGTATGATGGAACCTAAGGCAATACAGCCTGCAGCTCACATGGGATCGGTGCTGCACAGAGGTGCATCTGGTAAGAGATAGATGATTAGCCACAGATAATCCCACTCCCCCTCACTCTCCACCACTGAGGTTGGAGTACCACATGTCATTCCCAATGTGTTCCCCACCAAGGACATTAGGCAAGGCAGAGGGCCAGAAAATAAACAAAATGAAGCAATGTGCCAGTCTCTCTCGCTCTGTGTAAGAGCTAGGTGGCAACCCTGTGTGACCCCTGAACAGAAAGGCAGCTCTTACCTGTACACATCATACTTGGTTCCTGGGGGCTTGCTGTTCTGGAAGAACATTTCTGGAGGGACGTAGCTCAAAGTGCCTCTCAAAGCAGAGCTTTCAATATATTGCATTCGGCTAGAGTGCTCCATCCATTTTGATAGCCCGAAGTCTGAGATCTGCAAGCAGAAAAAATGAGAGCCTCCCCCGTAATGCTCACAGTCTCACCCCTCCTTATATTAGCTGGGAGATACCTCCATCCTTCACGGTCAGGGATATGAGGAGGTGCCTAGCAGCTGAAACTTGATAAAACCCTGGCAAAATTGCAGTCAGTGCTTTTCACTGAGTCCAGCAGATCAGCACTTCCTCCTAAGTTGGAGCCTTAAGTTCCCAGTTCTGGCACAGATTGCGTCTATGATCTTGAGAATACCATGTAATTTGTTTAGCAGCCACTTCTTATAAGCCCCACTGGTCAATGTTTCATTGAGTGCTCCTGAAGAACCTCACCTATTAGGATTCTGGACTCATTTGGCAAAAATAACCTTTCTCTTATTTGAGAAATAACCTTCAGCAGAAGAGTCTCTGCAGGTGAGAGACAGAGCAAAAAGTAAACTGAAGGGGCAGGTGCACCACCAAGAGAAAAGAGTGTCTGGAGGGTAAGGGAAGTGAGGGAGCAGAGCGCTTTGCAAGCCCAGCAAAAACAGCTGGAAATTCTCTGTCCCTCAGCTTTAAACCCAGTGATTTTAATGACTGATTTAGTTTAATAGATACCCATTAATCCCAACATCCAGCGGAAGCTGCAAATAAGTGATCAGGCTGCTTTTATCCACATGCCCACGTTTAGTTTAAGTTGCCTACTTCAGCCTCCAGATTTCTACGCTACTTGTTCTGAATAAGTGTGTTCCTTTCCCACTTGCACATGCACATACACACATAAGAAGGAAAGAAAGGCAGAACTCCAGATCATTAGTGTTTTTTCCACTCCCTTTGAGTACCAAAAACTTGACTTCCCAGAGAGAAGAACCCATGTGAACATTTCCTTCAGAGTTTTAGCACCAAATCACCATAGATAGCTCTAATGGACAGTTTGAACTGCTGAACTAGAAGAGACCGCACAGTTACCTCTCCGTGCTGGAGTCCTGCAGCAGGTACAGAGAGCATTTCACCACATAAACTGTTCTCCACCTCTTATGCTTGACTTGGTCACATGCCCAAAGCCTCTGCTGGCCACTTTAATCCAATCTTCTTCAAAATCCTCCTTATTAAAGACAGTTAAGCTGCCCAGTTGCCGGTCTCTCTCCAAAGTCACGACAGAAAAGGCAGCCTGGCTGTCTGCCTCCTGCTCAGGTGGTAACGGAGAAGAATAAAGGAGCTCTTCCAACTTGCACAGGGAGGTAGGGAGTTACCTGAGATGTCACCTGCCCACACAGCTTCAGAGCCAAGGACAAGCACAATGGGGCTCCATTCCCCCGCGTTCAGGCACAGGCAGGACAAACCCTTACTGAACTGCCCAAGTTTTATTATAGAAAGTTCAGGAGAAGGTGAGGGAGTGGAGGAAAACACTCCATGGTTGCAGAGTGGCAGCTGTTGCTGCTTCATTTCCTCCAGAGATTACAGGTGTGCTGCATTTCTTGGCAATTAGCTCAGGCATGTGCCAGGGTCTGTCTCAACTTTAATGGCATTAAAACAAAAGGTTAAGGAGTGAGGCAGTCATGCCGATCATTTACACCTTTGTTGACAACAGCGACTTACATTTCTTGACATGAGCCTTTCCTGCTTTTGCCCCAAACTGGGGAGCAATTTTACTCCAGTCCACTCTGAAGAACACCTTAGCTGTGGAAGTGGTGCTCAAACTCACAAGTTCGCATTGTCACACTTTCTTTTGAATTTCCTAAGGCACAAGCTTGCGGTGCTTCTCTGAAGCGAATGGGAACACTGCAGTTATCGATGGCCCCCTCAGCCTCAAGATGCAGAAGGATGGAGGCTGAGATGGTCAGGGAGGGCTGGGGCCTCGACCACTCTCAAAAACCCAGCCCCAATTCACTCTGCACACCAGTCCCATTGCACAGCACATGCAACCGCAACTCTGCCCCTAATAGCTCACACACCCATCCCCTTGCCCTGAACGAGTGCCCTGCCAGCTACAGCTCGGTCTAAAGATGAACCAACATCAATCACTCCTACAGCAACGCTGCCCTAACACCAAACTCATTTCTGGAAACCGCCACCTGGTCTCCCTGAGATTCCCCTTGCGATCGGCCAGGACCAACACACAGAGCAAAAATTCCAATGGTTGCTGAAGGTTAAAATCGCGTGTGCGGTGCAGTTTTGCTGGCATCAGTTAAAGCACAGTTGGGCAGGAAAGTAGCTAAACAGGAAACACACAGCTGGAGAAAGCATTTTATTGGGTACCTCCAGCACTGAATAGTTGGGAAAAGGGTGGGGACAGAAGCTGTTTTGGGACAGAGAGGAGAAACATCTTCCCCCAGAGGCTGAGGTCCAGCGGCTTCCTCCCCCGTTGCAGGTGCTGAAAGAGAAGCATTCAGAACAGGGGAAACCACCTCAAAATCCCTGCCCTCGAGTACTCATCCCCTGGCGTGCGCAACTCTGCCCCTGTCAAAGGACACTTCAGGTGTCTGCAGAGCCCTTCCCCTCTCCACAGCTGGTACAGCAACATCAAGGTACAAAAAACAGTTTTGAGACAACTTTGGGAAGTCATGTCATCCTAATGCAGAATCGGAGCAGCTTCTAAAAATCTCGGGAACTGCAATAAGCCAAGTACCTGCTCGAGAGGCACAGAAAACATCCCCAAAGGGCCAGGGATGCTTTAGGTGACCTCAGCCCCAAAGACAGGGAGGACAGAAGTGCCTTTCTCTTGCCCTTTCCTCAGCCCACTGCCGCTCCTCTTCTTGCTCGCTCGTGCCTTGCAGTTCCTGCCACACACGATGGATGCCTCTTCTTTCTTCTCGACCAGCAGCTGCAAAAAGGTAGGAGGATGCGGTGAGGACCGAGAAGCCCCCACTCCTCTGCCTGGAGGACAGAGGGACGCCGGGCTGGCCCCCGGAGGGAGCTCTCCACAGCACCACCCGACCCCCGGCCGTCCTCCCA